GATGGAAAAGAACTTATTTTCGAGTAAAGTAGTAAAGGTTCAGAATTTACTATCCCAGAGAGTTGTAGAGGCCAGATCACTGAAAGTATTTTAAGAGGAGGTAGATCGAGGAATTTTGGGATATAAGGAGCTGGCATGAAACAAATGGGATACAAGGTTAAAATATTGGCATGGATTGAGAATTGGTAGACAGACAGGAAATGGAGAGTGGGAATAAATGGGTCTTTTTCCAGGTGGGAGGCAGTGATACTCACTGCGAGTATCAGTGCTCAGGCACTAGCTATTTATGACATATGTAAATGACTTGGATGAATGACTTGGTTGAAGGACCCAAATACAACATTTCTAAGTTTGCTGAAGCCATACAACTGAAAATAAAACTGAGTGGGATTTTCAGTTGTGAAGAGGTTACAAGCAGACTTCAAAGTGATTGGCACAAGTTTAGTGAATGGGCGAACACCTGGTAGATGCAGTACGGCATGACTAAAAGTAAATTTGTACACCTTGGTGTGAAAAACAGAAAGGCAGAATTTTAATTAAATGATGATATATTCAGAAATGTGGAAGTACAAAGGGATCTGGATATACTTGTACACCATTCAGTGAAAGTAGACAGGTAGGAGTAGCTACCAATTTGGAAGGCAAATAGCATTACGGCCTTCATTGCACAAGGATTTGAGTTCAGAAATAAGCTTTCTCACTGCAGTTAAACTGGACCTTGATAAGACCACACCTGGAGTTTTGGTCTCCCTATCTTCACCATAGAGGGAGTGCAGCAGAAGTTCATTAGGCTCGCACTGGAGATGACAGGACTGAAAAATAAGAAATTTGTTTGACTGGGTTTGTCTTTACTGACATTTAGAAGGATAAGAGAGGAACTCATTGAACAATATAAAATTCTCACAGGCTGGACAGACTAGATGGAGAGAGGATGTTTTCCCTCGTTGGGAGTCTAGAACCATGGGCCACAGTTCAAGGATACAGGGTAGGCCATTTAGGACTGAGATGAAGGAGCATTTCATTCAAAGGGTAAATCTCTGGAATTTGCTACTACAGAAGGCTATCGAGGCCAAGTCACTGAATAGGGTATTTTTTAAAAGCCTCAAGGGGTAATGGGAGAAAACAGGAATGTAATATCGAGGTAAAGGATTAGTGATGGTCATATTGAATAGCAGAGCAGGCTTCAAAGGCCAAATGTTCTATTCCTGTTTCTAATTTATATATTTCTGTGTTTCTGTGCAAGAGGAGTTGAGACCTCGGGCAGATCAGCTCTGATGTTATCAAATTATGGGTGGACTTGAGCAGCTGAATGGCCTACTCCTATTATTTTCTTATGTTCATATGTTCTTATGTTCATATGTTCTTATGTTACACAGATATTGGCATTAATTATGTATCTTGAGCATACATAAAGAAAGTATTCTGAGATACTGGATGTTGGTAAGGGAGGAAGTATACATACGCAATATTGCATTCTGTAAATAAATCTATTATTAAGTGAAATATTGACATTTTCTTTACCATCTGGCTTCTGAGGGATTTAATATGCTGCTGAAACTCCTTCTTGCTCTGTTATCGCCTCAGTAATCAGCCATTAATGTAAATCTACCCTTAATTTGTCTCCACTTGCTGATATTGCACACTCCCTTGACTTGCAAAAACAGTCACAAACAGTGTCAATACTCTCTCAGCTACACTTGCCATTCTGTGCCAATTTTGAGTCCTGCATCATGCCATTTGGGGGCCTGCTGTTACGAACCATTTAGTTACTTTTGGAAAAGCAGAAAACAATGATGGTGAGTAGTGGCCTTTGCTGTCATGTAACTGTGTGCCTCTTCATGAATTCTGGTACCTGATCATAACAAATGGCTAGGGTTGGCAACATTTTACCACATTTCATTGGTGACTTTTTTGATATTGAGGGCTATAAGCTTCATATTACAACATGCAACTTATGTACCAGATTTCCTCAGGTCATTAAATCATTTCCAGCAATGTAAATCTGCATACAACCAACATATGTCTTTTGATTTCCTTTGTAACCTCCTGTCTTGCCTTTTTGATATTGTTCTCTCAGTGACTGGGAAGAAGGAGCGCTTCTCACCATGGCCTTGCCACATGAAGAAATATGTTCAAGGAGATATGACTAAACTTACGCATCACATGTCCTCTAAATGCAACTATTCTTTTAATAGCTCCATTGTTTCATTTCTTTTTCAAGTGTCTCTATTCATGATGTCTTTAAATGGAGTGCTGCTTTTTCTTTAAATATGACACTCATATTCAGTAGCTGCATATGGTTAAATACTGAATAAAGTCCATATTCAGGAGTCAAAGGAAGGGATAGAAGGAGATTGTTAGATACAGATTGATGTTTCATCTCCAGTGTCCATTAAACACGCTAGAACAGGTGCAGCACAGGCTTAGAGAAAGAATAATGTTCTTTACATTTTTTTTCCTGCCACCAGTTGTTATTGGCTGGGTCCTGCACTTACCAGGTCTTCATTGGGCACTGAAATAATACCACACTAGCCAGTATTGAGTCACCAAGTCACTCTTTATTTACACATGCCCAGTATTGGTCTGGCTTCCTCAGAATGTCTGACACTCCTGTTTATATCTGTCAGCCAGGGCTCCCTGATTGAATCAGGTTAACAGCCCCAATCAGGGAACTCACATTCTATGAGGTCTACCTGGCTGACGTCATTACAATCACTATAGGCACAAGAAAGAAAATCCTCTTCCATGTGTTTTAGGGAAGGAAATCTGCCAAATTTACCTCATCCAGCCTACATGTGACACCAGACCCACAGTAATGTCAATGACTCTTAACTGTCCTCTAAAATGGCCTAACAGGCCAGTCAGTTTGAGTTCTTTGGAATGAATAAAATAAACGATAGCTTGGAAAGAAGCTGTGGGAGAAAACAGGGAAAAAGCAGTCTCTCCACATGATGGTGAGGCTTTCTGACTTGGCAAAATGCAAATGAGCCAAGATATGGTGCTCAAGACATCAGGCTCCCTTCCCTTCACCTTTCCCAATATTATCAGTCCTCTTGCCTCCCAGCCAGTTGTCATAGAGCTGGGAAAATTCATTCCATGGTATTGTATTATTTTTCTGGAACAATTTCTGAGTATTGAATCATATACTGTCCTACAAAATCATAGAAAGTTTAGACAGATTAAAGGCACATTGAGGGCAGACTTATAGATGCATTTGCAGATTTGTAAGATAATAGATCCAAATCTCAAGTTCTGACCCTCCCATACTAATGCTTCTACTCCTGAATATTAAAACCTTGTTTGCAAATTCAGAGTAAAAAGCTTGCATCTCAGCATAGCTAATTAGATATGATGTTTGGGTCAGTTTTCCAGTCTTTGGTCAGAGCTCTGAATAGGTCATGGTGTAGAATCAGAACATTGAATCATAATGCAATGAAACTAACATGACCATCTTTGCTCTGCATGTGCACCACCTCTTGTAGGCTTAATGCTGATGGAAGCTACAAACAAATCTGCAGTCTATGCTAACTTGGCCTCTAAACTGATCTTCTAAGCTAAGAAGTGTGGCAACAGGGAAGCAGACAAGAAATGGAAGAAGGGGAGGAAATAATAATGATCATGCCTTTACATCACTGCAGTGTGGAAGGAAAAACATTGCGGTCTTACACCTTTTTGTTCATTGACTCTCTTCCAATTTACCCAATCTATCATAACATTATTCAAACAGTTTAGTTAAGTAAATGAATTTACACAAAAATGATGAAATTACTTTTTTAATAAAAATAATGGAAATAAAGTGGAAATGAGAACTGGACGTTTTTACTACTTGTGCCATTTCTGGCTTTTATGAAGGGACTGAATTCAATTCCCTTTCATTTATTACAATACAAGGTTTAATTTACACAGGGAGTCTGGGTAGCTGTGAATGTTCTGCAGCTTGTCTCTGTCATAATGAAAGTTATGCATTAAACTATCAAAACAAACCAAAAAGTATTTAACATTGCCATCATTTAGTTTGAAGTGGCATATGCATAAGAAACTAAAAAGTTAATATTAAAAAGAGTTTTAAAACAATGGAAAATAATTTAATGTTGGTTTCATATCAAGTGAACAATCTGATACAGAAAATGATGGAATAAAATATCAGTGGTGCATAGAGTTTAATCCAGGAAATTTTGTCCCCTGTGCTGCATATTACTCCATCCCAATTGCATATTAAACAACCCTATCAAAAAAGGCATTGGCATCTGCTGTGCTGCCACAAATTGTGAATTAAATGAAATTGATGTCCTCTGTCGTATATTTATGAAGACAGACCATTCTCAGAAGTATTCTGCTTATGAAGAATTTATGATTGCAAACTGTTCCTGAACAAAAAGTGGCAATAAATTCTTTTTTTAAACACCCCTCTCAGGGTATTGAGTCTGCTGCTGCTGGTAAATTTGTCACAGCAGAAAACAATAGCTAAATCTGGATTCCTCTGTGAGGCTTTATATTATGAGTATTCCCATGGTATCAGGAACTGGTTTGCCAGAATTTTTCATCTAACATTTTTTTTAATAGATTAGTCTGATACTATTTGTATACAATGATTTCATTGTATCTGGATGCTATACACACTCCCACACCCAGTGCGCTGCCTATTGCTTCCAAAATTGCCAAAGATTATTTTATGCTGTGGGTGGACAGCTTAATTTGCAGGGATTTATCATCCAACTGACAGTTTCAATTTGGCTTCTTTTGTTTTTAAATGTTTGTTAATTTTACTTAATTAATACAGTACAGTAATTTGAAAAATTGATGAAATAACATATTTTTTTGTTCATTTACACAGCAGGTACACTGAATTATGTCTGAGACTTGATTTTTAATTGGAATTTTTTTAAAGGCAGTGGTGTTTCTAGCCAGTACACTTATCAATAAGTGATGATTTGTCAATACCGATCTTAAAAACAAATCACAGTGCATGAAGCTAATTGATGTTTTCTTTGCTGTGTCAGAGAACGCTCAGAGAGAAAACCCAGCACACAGTAATGGGCCCGAGTGGGGCAGGAACATGTGATCTTCTGTCACCTGAAAGTAGTAGCCTGGTGAGGCAGCTGGAGGTCAGGATCAAAGAGCTTAAATGTTGGATGAGAGATACAGAGCTTTTCATCTTTAATTCCTGCCTGCTCCAAGAAAAAGAAGGGACAACGGAGGTCCAGAAAAAACTGCAGCATTTTAAGGTAGCTGATTAAGTAATGTTCCTTTAATGCATTTTATGGTCGACACATGGCAATTCATGGATGTTTTATGGCAAACAAAAGCAGTGAATAGTGAACAAAAATAAAAGTAGTTTTTAGAAAATGAAGGAACAAGTACTTTAAAAGGTTACATGGCATATTACCAATTTGCATGAAAATAATTATAATATAAGATGCCTGTTATGGGATTTTTGTTATGGAAGTAGGAAGCAAAAATAGAAGAACTACAGCAATATCTCTTTTGTCTGCATTGTAACAGTGTTTTCCTGAATGATTCATAATACACCAAAGTACTATATTATTCATGTATTCTGTCATTCTCAATATATTAAGACTTAGTGTCAGACACACACGTGGCAGGAAAAATATTCCAAATGTTAATGACAACATTGAGATGAGTGGACACTAAACAAAAAAAAAGAACTGTGAATGCTGGAAATCAGAAACAAAAACAGAAATTCCTGGGAAAACTCAGCAAGTCTGGCAGCACCCGTGGAGAAAAAACAGGGGTAATATTTTGGGTCCAGTGACCCTTCTTCTGACTGCAAGGTGAGTTATCCCAAGGTATTTTCTCGTGATGGCTGATTCAAGAATAGTATTGACAGAAGAGGAGAAGCTTTTCCATGAAAGAAATAGATGCAGAAGTAGGCCATATATATAGCATTGAGTCTTCATCAATATTCAATAAGATCATTGCTGAATTCCTTCATCAATTCCACTTACCCATCTTACCCCATCCTTTGACTAACTAAGTGCCCAAATCTTTATCAATTTCAGTCATGAATGTAGTCAACTGAGTATACTGTAGAGTTAAGAATTATTCAAGATTCACAACCTTCTAAGTGAAGAAATCTCCCTTTATGTCATTGTCCTAGATGGGCCAATGTCTTATCCTGAGATTGTGACCTCCGGTTTTAAACTCTTCAACCCTGGAAAGCATCCTCTCTTCCTTGTCAAGAACCTATCCTATCAAGCCCACTGAGAATTTTACATATTTCAAGAAGATCACCTTTTTTTTCTAAACTGCAGAGAATAAAGGCCTATTCTACTCAAGCTCTCCTCAAATGACAATGCTTTCATCCCCAGAAATGATCTAATGAACCTTTGTTGTCGTTCCTTCCCTCTAAGGCATGTATTCTCCCTTAGATAAGGAGATCAAAATATTACAAAGTATTCAAGGTGTGATCTCAGCAAAATTTTATATAGTTATACAATACTTCCTCACTTTTATATTCCAATCGTGTTGTAATAAAGTCTAACATAACATTTGTTTTCCTGATTACTTGTTGCAACTACATGCTAAATTCTGTCAATTTGTGTATAAGGTCACTCAAATCTCTTTGAATTTAAAAATTTGTTGACATCACAGTTTTGAAAATTTTTCTGCTTTTACAGTCTTCCTAATTTCACATTTTCCTGCAGTATGCTCCATTTGTCACCTTCTTGCCAATTCCTGAACTTGTCTGTATCCCTTTGCAACCCTTTTATGTATATTCACAACTTAATGTCACAACTCACTTTATATCCTTGGAAAACTTCAATATTTGGTTCCCCATCTGAGCATTGTTGTAAATTATAACTCCATGAGGCCCAGGCACTGATTTTTGTGATACTCCACCGCTTGCAACTTGGTATTCTGAAATTTAGCTGTTTATTCTTACTATGCCTGTTCTATGTCAGCATATTATCTCCAATCCTCTAAACCCTTGTCTTGCACACCAACATATTACATACAACTTTATTGAATGCCTTCTAAAACGCCAAACAATTGGTTACCCCTTAAACATTATGCTAGTTACATTCTGATAAATTTGAACAAGATTGTTAAGCACAGTTTCCCTTTCACAAATCTTGGTCAATCTTGCTTAAACAAAATGTGATATTGCAACTGTACTGCTACCACATTCCTAATACTATGACAGGATAACTGACTTATAGTTCCCGATTCCTTTTTGACCTGAGAGGTTACATTTGCTACCATGGATAATTTGAATTTTGCTATTTTCAGGTAGAAAAATGGAGCGAAATCTTGCACCTTCCCATTCCACCACCACCAGCACCACCATCACCAGCTCCCCCCCCACCCCACCACATTGAGTTTCATGGCAGACACATATATGTGGGCAGATTGGGAGCAACTAGAGACCCTTCCACTATCTTGCTTCCACCCTAATTAAGTGTACAATGGGAAGGCCCAAGGATGGCCTGGTATCAACCCAGTGATGGGCAAGGAAGAGGCTTGCCATGTGCAGAGAATAACAAATAATATCTATATACGGACTCCCAGGACACGGGGGATGAGGAGGTGTTCGTTCATTCAAGGTTTCTTAATGCCCTGCTTGAGGAACCCAACACTGGGGGGGAGGTAACTGCTGAAAGTCACCCTCCCCTCCTGCAATTCGACTTCCATCATCATTTACCTGTGCATAGGTCCTATTTTGAAGTGAGGCCTTGTGTGGATATACTACAGGCAGCCTCCCTGGTGCCATTGCTGAGTACAGAGAGTTATCAGCCTCTGATAGGGTGATAGCTCCCAGCAGATGGAATTTTGTCCCTAGGTTCCTTGATCAAGATCACATTTTCATCAAAAATACACATGTGACTAATATTGTTCTTTGTTAATTTGAAAATAAGCTTTCAGTTTGGAGGTTGAAAAGTTACCTCATGAGTTATGAATCATTGCATATTTCTGCATAATTTGCTCTATTCCATTAGCTTTGTGAAAACAGCATTTTGTGTTTAACATGTCACAGGAAGGCCTACTGCTAATCCACTAGGTATTTGTATGGCACAAACTACAGTGGGACTCACCAAAAGAGGCGATGCTGGCCTCTTGCAGGCTCCCCAGTCAATGGTTGAGACTGCTCCCTATACAAGAGTACACCTATAATTATTGCCATTTAAATTTAGATAGGTTTAGAGCTGCATTATTTAAGCTGATGAATGTAGCTCAGACAGGTTACAATGAGTATGGTGTGTCTAAGTAAATATTCAAGATCTCATTGCACCATTTAAAGAAGAACAGATGTTCTGGACAATAACCTTTCCTCCAGTCACATTACCAAAATGTAGATTATTTGTTCAATTCATATTGTTGTTCTTTCTGACCTTGGTGTGTGCAAAATGGTTGCTGCATTCGAATACATCGCAGTTCAAAGTAATTTGTTGTGAAGTGTTTTAGGATATCCTCAAAGACGTAATAAAATGGTATATAAATGCAAATTATTCCTTGCTTTTATAAAAACAGAATGATTTCAGCTTTGTCAGTGTTAAATAGAAGAGGTTCTGAATAATCAATTACATGATAGTGTTGATTTTTTTTTCTTTTCAGGACCCTGCTGGGTGCTTGCTAGCACCCTCTGCAGTATACCTCTGCACTTACACCATTGTATACACCTGGCTATTTCCATTGCTCTGACATGCTCCAAGTAATTCTGTTGGTAGTACATTGCACTAGAAAGAAGGGTTGGAAGCCCTGAGTCCTGAAGATTGTACTGGGAAGAATGCTGCAAAAACTGAATTTTATGCTAAAAAAAACTGGTTGATACACATCTTTATTTATGTAGAGATCAGCCATAATTTTGTAGCAAAGAAAAAATACAACATGAATTGTGCATTGTCACAAATCACTGACCACTTTTCCACTAGTTTTGTGAAAACAACATCTTGTGCTTAAATCTTAGGACTTTCAAAACTTTGCTGCTTTTGCACATTAATCACCTGTTACACTTGTAAGTCTAGTAGTTTATAGCATAATTACCCTGGTTAGAATGTGATTATTCTTAATGACTGCCAATCATCACCTCTTGGTCAAATCATGAACAATTCTTAGGGGTGATCCTGCCTCACTGGGTAGAACACTGGAAATCAAGCCCCATTATTTATGGAGTCATCACAAAAGTTGAAGATTTTGAGAAAGTATGCAAAATTCCGTAATTTACTTCACTTTTCAGGTCTGAGTTGACAGAAAGCACAGACCAGATTCTTTACTTAATTTGCTTCTTGCTTTACTTAACGAGAATTACTATTCTTTACAAATAAATAGATAATTGCTACAGGTAAATAATTATGAACCGTTGACATATAACTCTATCCTTTAAAACTCTATAAACCGCTACAAAATTCCCCATATGCGCCAGAACAAACAGTCATATGGATGGAGGGAAAACAGGGAAGGCGTTTCATGGCCCCTGTCCAATGGATTCACTGTAGTGATCCTTTTGGCTTGCCAGGACTCGTGGCTTTCTTGATCTTTCTCCAGATATTTGCACATGCTTACAGGAGGCACAGAGCAACTGGTTCATAAGTGACAAGGTCTCTGGTTTATTCATTGAAAGCCACAGCTTACAACAACTGATGAGATGAAACAAACTGGCCTTGGATACTTTTAAACTGCAGAGAGAAATACATTGCTTTCTTTTCCAAAGGTACAAATGCCCTAACATTAACGTCCATAAGACGCTCAGCTATCTGGGAGTCAATTTCATAGTTATTGACAGGCAGAAGACCTTTTTCATTGACGACTGGGTCACCACTCTACAGACCAATTGTGAATAGCCAAATCACCCTTCATGCACACCACCTGGTTCCAGATTGTCTGCAGTCACCCCCACAGCTTTAACAAACAGCAGTGTAACTAGCACTTGCAATGAGAGTTAATAACCAGCCTTTAAAAGGTACAATAATCTCTTCAACAATCCTTGCTTTTTCATGGAAATCTGCCATCCTCACTTGGTCTGGCCTACATTTGACTCCAGGGCCACAGCAATGTTTGACTCACAACTGCCCTCTGAAATGGCCTAGCAAGCCACTCAGTTGGTTCACTCATTATGAAAAGTCAACAAAGAAATTGAATGACCACCTGACATCAACCTAAGCACTAGAAAGACAATGTCAGAAACAGCTCTTTGACCCTGCAAAATGTTCCTTACTGAAGTATGGGGCCAGTGCCAAAATTGGGAGAGGTGTCTCACAAATGAGTT